AGAAAAGTTGTAATCCATATGGTCAATAACGCAGATGTAGCACGAAACGACGTCATCAATGCGTTGTATCGTAAGTGATAATGGAGGGCCAAGAATCGATCAAGGCTAATGGCGGCCATTGTGCCGAGCGATACCCCACATGCAGCAAACGCCATCAGGGCTGTAAGAATTTGAAGGAAATACACATCTATTAGAGATTTGGCGATGTAAACTGGCTGAACTATTAAACCGACCAGAAGATCAGAAATAGCCAAACTAAAAAGAAACATTGTGGAAGGAGACCGAAGTGATGATGTCTTCCATATGGCGATGGAGACCAAACAGTTCCCTAGAATGGTGACAAGCATCATGATTCCGTTTATAATGCAGTTTATGGCTACAATATTTCCATATGATGATGCATTTGCTTGGAATTTGACTCTGATATCAGCTGAATTCCCAGTGGTACTCAAGTTTCCGTTGTACATCTTCGACGACGCTGCTTTAGTCTTTTAGCGGAAACATTGACCATCTGGCTTCCTCGAGAGCTTAAACTAGGTGCCTCACTGAATAGAACTTGGTCGGTAAATTTGTCATTTTCAATTAAGTCGCCTTTTAGAAGTTAAGTTCATAAATTTGCAATGAGCAAAATACTCATTAACTTATGAATAGGATGATCAAAGGCACCCGTACCTCAATGAAAATGTTATATTTCTCAAAGTCTTAATATCTGTAACGACTTCCTTTCCTGAATGGTTTTTCCTTTACATTAACGTGGGAATGGAGAATGAAAAGATGATAATTTTTACCTTTAATTTGTCGGCTTTCTTTGTGTGTTCGCTCTTTCCAATTCAAAATATTCACACAACAAAACTTACAAATTTTTGGATTTGTGGGTTTCCATTTGCAAAACAATTATACGCAAGACGCGAATGGCAATCTCATTCTCAATCTTAATCAAGCAAACGTCCCTTGCGTTTTTTTCCATGAGATACGGTGTTCAAGGATGATATTTTCGTAATTAGTAAACCCCTATTTTGTATTTTACATCTAACTCCATGCTACTGCCATTAAAGTTTTTAGCATAACAAAAGTGAATAGTGAATATTG